TGGGTCTGGGATGATCATTTATGCAGGAAGCGGGAGATAAAGCATGCCTAGACACATGCTCTGACTTGCAGCAGGAAACAGGAATAAGTGACTGGGAAACCATGTGAATCAGCAGATGGATACGTTTTTTTGGGAGACATTCTTATAAGAAAAGTGTTCAATGAGGTAGGAGGACGAGGGTACAAAGGCACCTAATGTATGATGTGCATCTACTATGTGCCAGAGAAATGCTACGTGTGTGTGTGTGTGTGTGTGTGTGTGTGTGTGTGTGTGTGTGTATGCTATAGACTGAATGTTTGTGTCTTCCCCAAATTCATCTTAAAACTTAGCCTCTAATGGGATGATAATTGAAGATGGGGACTTGGGAAGTGATTAGATCATGCAGGTGGAGCCCTGGTGAATGAGATAAAGGCCTTTATGAAATAGAACAGCCTCACTCCTTCCAACATGTAAGGACACAGTGAGAAACTGGCCATCTGTGAACCAGCTAGTGGGTCCTCACCGGATATCGAATTTTCTGGTGCCTTATCTTGGACTTCCAGTCTCAGAACCATGAGAAATAAATTTCCATTGCTTCCTAGCCACTCTGTCTGTGGTATTCTTTTATAGCAGCCAGAATGGACCAAGACAATATACTTGGTATATTGTTGGGATTTTTTGTTTGTTTGTTTGTTTGTTTTTTAATGATAACAGAACACCTAATAGGGATAGCCATGCTCAACACACACATGTTGATAACAGAAACACTCAGGCCATCAAATTAACAGGAACAATTCATATTTACAGAAACCTACTGTGTGCTAGATAGCTCCATATGCATTATTTTATTTCACTGACCCCTCACACCAAACCCATCATTGATCAGTTAGAAGAGATTATGTTTTGTTGCTATAACAAATGACCTTACAGTCTCTGTGGCTTCTACTAGCAAGGCTTAATAAAATCTTGGTCATACCACAAGTTCATTGTGGGTCGTTGTCTCTCTGCTTCATGACATCTTCACTCTGGGCCATCTTCGCTTGATCTAGAGCATCACTGTTCATTGTGGCTGAGGGAAAAGACTCCTGGTGAACCATGCAAGGACTAGTAAAGCTTCTGCTCAGAATTGGCATATATCTGTTCATATTTAACTGGCCAGAACAAGTTACATGACCAACCTGAGCTGAATAAGGTGAGGATGTATAATCTTCATAACATCCTCTCCACAGGTACCCCTGTATCTGCTCAGAAAAAAATAACTTTCCCAAAGTGCCAATCTAGCCATGCTTATTTCCATATCCAATGCCTTTCATTCTTTCTCCTTCAATGATCCCATTAAAAACTACTTATGAAATACCTCCTACGTACAAGCATTTAGTAGGTCCTGACCGGTGGCTCAGTGGGTAGAGCATTGGCCTGCGGACTCAAGGGTCCCAGGTTCGATTCCAGTAAAGGGCATGTACCTTGGTTGTGGACACATTCCCAGTGGGGAGTGTGCAGGAGGCAGCTGATTGATGTTTCTCTCTCATTGATGTTTCTAACTCTCTATCCTTCTCCCTTCCTCTCTGTAAAAAATCAACAAAATACATTTTCTTAAAAAAACATTTACTAGGTTTTAGGATTACAATAGCAGCCAAAATAACACTCTCACTACTTTTATGGGGTTTATACCTAGAAAGGAACCCAAACTTAGCTGTTTACACAAACATGTATAAAACAGTGATGGTGTTAAACTTTACAAAGGAGAGAGACACAGTGCTGTGGGATAAAGTCCAAACTCATAAAGGATGCATCACAGTGTGTTGTTATTTTTGCACTGTCCTTCTCTCTCCTCCATTAATCTTGAGACTGTGGAACAGGGAATGTGTCTTCTTCATAAATTTATCCTCAGAGACTTCTCTAGAGCCTGTTACATAATGGGAACTCATTATTCCTTGTTGGTTGATTGAGTCAATAAATAATTTTATGAATTATACTTGCTTGTATTTCCAAACCTGGGATGAAATGGATTAGGATCCAGTCAAGGAGAATGAAAAGGAAGGTAAGTAAAGTTCAAAACCATGGGCCTCAGTGTCACAATACCTCAGGCTGGGTCCCAGAAATGACACTAAGGAGTTATAAGATCTTGAATAAATAACAGCACTAGTTTGATCCTTAGCATTTTCCCATAGGATAGGATGAAAATGGAATAAAACAAAGCAGGTAAAACACCAACTGTGATGCCTGGAAAATGGTAATCATCCAATAAATGCTAAAGAACATTAGCATTTGTATTATTTATTGAGGATATACCATGTACTAAACATTTGGGAGGTGTTTAACATGTATCATCCAATGTAATTCTCACAGCGAGTGCCAGCCATTCCATTGCACAGATGCACAAACTGAGGCCTAGAGAGTTGAAATAAATTTTGCTAAAGCCCATAGAGAGTAAATGATGTCAGGAAAATAAAATAAAATATTGCCATAGCTTTTTAAGACTGAGGGGGAAAGGGGAAATGACAAAATAAATAGCCATTGGGGATTTACTTAAGCACTGGTCTTCCATCCTTTTCCTAATAGTTGCTATAGGTCATAGGGAGTTGGGCTTAGTTTGTAGAGGCCCATTCACAGGGCCTCCCCTAATAGAATTACTCTTAATGTTTTACCTTGAGTGTTTTTCATCCGTGAACGCAATCCCATATTTTTAGAAGCTCTGTGAATATTTAAAACACATAAAATGCTGCAAATATTCACCAAGGACATAAATTTATTTAATGAAATACCTGCATGTGTCAAACACTAAAATACTGACAATTATTACCAAGAAAATACAGGGTAAACAATTAGTCAAGAAAAATAAATAAGATTGGGAATAAATATGTATAACTATACTTTTTGATGACATAATCTTGCCTAGAAAAATACTAAGAAATCCATATACATGTAAAATATTATTAGAGCTAATAAATGAGTTTAGCAAGTTTTCAGGATACAATGTTTCTATATAAAAATCAGTTGTATTTTTATGCCCTAGCAATGCACAATCTGGAAATAAAAATAAGAAAACAATTTTGTTTATAGTAGCATCAAAAAGAATAAAAGACAGGAATAAATGAACAAAAGAAGTACAAGACTTGTGCACTAAACACTGAAAATTATTGTTGGAATAAATTAAAGATGACAAATAAATAAAAAGGATTGGAAGCCTTGATAGTGTTTAGGTAGCAATACTTCTTAGATTGATATACATAGTCTATGTAATTCCTATCAAAATCCAGGTGCCATTTTTTTGCAGAAATTGGCAAGCTATCCTAAAATTAATACATAAATGCAAGGGACCCAAAGGAGCCAAAAGCATCTTGAAAAAGAACAAAGTTGGCAGACTCTCATTTTCTATTGGGAACAATCCAATTATTTATCAACTCATGAATGAATAAATAAAACATAGCACGTCCACACAGTAGAATATTATTCAGCCATAAAAAGGAATGGATCATCGACACTTGTTACAACATGGATGTACCTTGAAAAATTGCTAAATAAAAGAAGTCGGATACAAACGTCCGTAGGTTGTATGAGGCTACTGGATTGTAGGAAGTATATAAATTGTTGCCAGGAGCTGAGAATAGTGAGGAGTGGGGGTGACTGCGAATTGGTGTGGAGTTTTGGGGGAGATGTTGAAATATGCTGGAATTAGATAGTGGTGATGGTTGTACAACCTTGTAACAATAAAAAATAAAAACGCTGAATTATATACTTAAAAAGGCTTAATTCTAATGTATGTGAATTATATATATTATTAAAAAAATAAAAATTTAGTGTAGGAGGACACATACTTCTCTAGAGTCATTTACCGCTATGCTTGTTTCTTAGCTTGACAATGTCTGTGAGACCTTGTACCTGATACTTACATTGTAAGTGCCTCAGTGTCCTAATGTGTATAAGGGATAAAGAGCCTCTGGGTTATAACATGCATGTGAGGTGCCTGGGACAGTCCCTGGCATGAAGTAAGAGCCCTGTAAATTGCTGTCTTGGCCTGGAGTTATCATTTTGATAGAGGGTTGATGCATGAATAAGTAGAAACAGCAATATAGCCTGTCATGTGCTTTGTTGGTGAGAAGCTGGACAGGCTGTCTCAGCAGCCGGAAGCACCCGGAAGGTTTTCCTGAAGGAGGTGATACTTGGGTGAGCTTAAAGGACAAGAAGGAATCAAGCAGGCCAAGAAAATGTTTGTACTTTCAGATACAGTGGTATGCCCAAGACTCAGATTTGAGAGAAAGAGCATGTACTTTCCTGGAAGAGAGAATGGGAGATGAGAAAGGAGTAAGATATGGGGCTTGGGCAGCAAGCAGGAGCCAGACCACAAAGAGCTTCATATAATTTTTTTTTTTTTAAAGGAATTGGGTTTTGTCTTGGGGACAATAGGAAACCATTGCAGGGTTGTACACCAGGAATATAGAATTAGACTTATGTTTTATACTAGAACCCGATGCACGAAGATTGGTGCAACAATGGGCCTTCCTTACCCTGGCTGCCGGCACTGCCTTTCCTCTGGCCTGGAGCCACCTTTCTGCCTTCCCATGCTGCCCAGTCCTGAGCGACTGGGGGCAGTGCGGAATGCCATGGTGACAACACAAGCATTCCTCCCTGCCCCCAGCCACTTGGCACCTGTGTATGCAAATGAACCTGCCATTTTTGTGGGTTAATTTTGCATACTCACTCCTGATTGGCTGGTGGGCATCCTGAAGGTACAGTCAATAGTCTAGATGTGGTATCTCACAACTGACAGAATGGCTACCATCAACAAATCAACAAACAACAAGAGTTGGTGAGGATGTGGAGAAATGGGAACCCTAGTACACTGCTGGAGGGAATGCAGACTGGTACGGCCACTATGAAGAACAGTGTGTGTTTCCTCAAAAAATTAAAAATGAAATTAAAAAATCATTTGATCCAGGACACAAGATGGTGGCGCCCAGAGTAGTCTGTCTTGCTGCTGTCCCCCGAGGTGAATGAACGAAGGCAGTGAACCCAGAGTCATGTCGAAGCTAATCCGGGCCACTCGGGTGGCCAAGAAGCCCGAGGTCGGCGGTGTGATTCGGACCATAGTGCGAGTGGGCCAGGCCATGCCGGGGCCCCCGCTGGGCCCGGTCCTGGGTCAGCGAGGGGTTTCCATCAACCAATTCAGCAAGGAGTTCAACGAGAAGACGAAGGACATCAAAGAAGGCATCCCTCTGTCCACCAAGATCTTTGTGAAGCCTGACAGGACGTTTGAAATCAAGATAGGACAACCCACTGCGACCTACTTCCTGAAGGCAGCTGCCGGCATTGAAAAAGGGGCCCGGCAGACAGGGAAGGAGATGGCAGGCCTGCTGTCCTTGAAGCACGTGTATGAGATCGCTTGTGTTAAAGCTCAGGACGACGCCTTCACTCTGCGGGACAAGCCCCTGGCCGCTGTCATCCGCTCCCTCATCGGCTCTGCCCGCTCCCTGGGCATTCGCGTGGTGAAGAACCTCAGTGCGGAAGAGCTGGCGGCTTTCCAGAAGGAGCGAGCTGTATTCTTGGCGGCTCAGAAAGAGGCCGATTTGGTAGTTCAGGCCGAAGCTGCCAAGAAGTGATCCCTGGCCTGCACACTCCAGAAATTTGAAGGGAGCCGCTGGAAAGGCTGTGCTGAAGGAGAGAGGGGGAGATGACACCAACCTGATCATTACCGCCCTGACTTTAGATTATGTATTTTTACACCTATGGATGTATCACAGGATTCAGCCTAAATAAACATCTTTGTCACACACACAAAAAAAATCATTTGATCCAGTGATCCCACTTCTAGGAATATATCATAAGAAGCCTGAAACAACAATCAGAAAGAATATATGCAGCCCTAGGTTCATAGCAGCACAATTTACAATAGCTAATATCTGGGAACAGCTCAAGTGCCCATCATAGACAAGTGGGTAAAAAAGCAGTGGTACATTTATACATATGGAATACTATACAGCAATTAAAAAGAAGGATCTCTTTGAGACAGCATGGAGGGACCTGGAGAGTATCATGCTAAGCAAAATAAACCAGTCAGATAAAGACAAGTAACACAGGATCTTACTCATGTGAAATCTAATGAACATAATGAACTGACAAACAAAATAGATCCAGAGACATGGAATCATGTAACAGATCTATGAATCTCAGAGGAATCCAAGGAGAGGGAGGGAAGAGATTAAACAGAGAACTTGTATGTATGTGTGCATAACCCATGGATACAGACGATAGTGCTGGGCAGGCCTAGGGAGGAGCCAAGAATGGGGAGGAAGGGCCAGTGTGGGGGGTGGGGTGAGGAGGGAAGAGGACATCTGTAATACTTTCAACAATAAAAATACATTTTTCTTAAAAAATAAAAAAACTAACAATGTTTTGAGGAGTGAATGTGAAGAACAGGGTGGCTTCTGGGTCCTTGGTTTGGCTGAGAGGGAAGGTGGTAACTTTTGCTGAGACAGAGAGCTGAGGGGGAAAAGGAGGAGGAGGGGGAGGAAACAACAGAATTTCCAGTTTGGGCAGGTGAGAGGCAGGTGTCTGTGCGCTGCAGGTGCTGGTGCCAGCTCTACAAGGCCATACCAACAGCCCACCCTTAAAATGGATCATTCATCACTTTTAAAGAGCTAGCATCAGATGAGTTGTCAAGCTTGAAGTTACTATCACTCACAGGCAGCTTTGAGTGAGCTTGGCCAAACCACTTCGCTATTTGAACTTGGATCTGATCACCAGTAAAGTTGGGTAAATGACAATTCCTCCCTGTTGTCATTCACAGGGGTGTTTGTGGGCATGAAATGAAATCCATGTATAAAAGTGATGTATGTTTTATAAAGTGTTATATACACAGAAGGTACTAGCATTATAACATAGAACATAAATAATAATTCTATGATGAATGATGGATTTTCAATGAGTTTTCTTTTCTTTTCTTCTAAAAATCTCACCCAAGGATGTTTTTCAAATGATTTTTAGAAAAAGTGGAAGAGCGAGGGGAAAGGCAGAGAGAAAAATTGATTTGAGAGAAACATATCAAATGGTTTCCACCTGCATGAGATCTAACCATGGCCCAGGCCAGGGAGGATCCTGCCACCAAGGTACATGCCCTTGACTGGAATCGAGTCTAGGACTCTTTGGTCTGTAGGCCAATGCTCTATCCACTGAGCTAGGGCTCAGTGAGTTTTCTTAAAGATAATAAATGTGTGCATTGATCATAATAATGTTACTTGAGTCCTGGCATCTATTTGATGCTTTCCTCTTTAAAAAAAAAATATATATATATATATATATTTTATTGATTTTTTACAGAGAGGAAGGGAGAGCGATAGAAAGCCAGAAACATCTATCAGCTGCCTCCTGCACACCCCCTACTGGGGATGTGCCCGCAACCAAGGTACATGTCCTTGACTGGAATTGAACCTGGGACCTTTCAGTCCGCAGGCTGACGCTCTAGCCAATGAGCCAAACCGGTTTCGGCTGATGCTTCCCTCTTTAACACACTGCTTCCACAGTTACAATCTGAGCAGATACTTTTCTGAGTAGACTACCAGGCTGAGAGCATTATTTGGAGGATGAAGAAGTCAGGATGCAGAGCACTGAAATATATTTCCCAAGGTCACCTGGCTAATAAGTATCAGAGATGGTCGGACTCCTATTCTATGATGCCTGCCACTAGACTGTACTCATATGCTCTGTTAAAAAGGCTCTTGAGCCTGGCCAGTGTGTCTCAGTGGTTGAGTGTCAACCTAGGAACCAGGAGGGCATGGTTCAATTCCAAGTCAGGGCACATGCCTTGGTTGTGGGCTCAAACTCCAGTAGGGAGTATGCAGGAGGTAGCCAGATGATTCTCTCTCATCATTGATGTTTCTATTTCCCTCTCCCTTCCTCTCTGAAATAAATAAAAACATATTTTTAAAAACAGAAAAGAAAAGGCATGTGAAGGTCTGGCTCTCTAGATTCTAGAGAATAAGTGTTATTTTACAGTAATTGCAGAGACTGCTATTGCCTACTTAGTGACTACTCTCCCATTTTTACTTATTAACAAAATTCTGATTATATTTGGTGTGGCAAAATGCTCAATTATCACAGTACATATCCCTGCCTTCCTTGTGGCAAGGTATGGCTATTTTATTAAGTTCTCTTCACTTATATGTAAGTAGAAATGTATCAGATTATGAGAAAAAAATTTAGAAAGAACTGACATCACAAGAATGCCCTTCTCTCTTCCTGCTGTCTAGAATGGGGATGTGATGGCTGGAGCTCCAGCAGCCATCTTGGACCATGAGGTGACCTTGAGAAGGAAAGCCTGAACTCTCAAACCATCATATGAGCTCTGAATGGCCCACCTCTAAACTTTATTTGCGATATAAGCTTTATTGAGATATAATTGACAAAATTATGTATTTATAGACATAAAATATCTCTATACGTAAAGAGCCAGAGTTGTAACATCCAAAATGACTGAAGGCTCTACCGAATGCCAGGCTGCATGCGAAGCAGGTGAGCTGGCTGAACTGCTCACCTCTTGGAGAGAGAGAGAGAGGTGGGGCTGATCTCTGGGCCTCGCCAGCAGCCAAGCTTATCTCTCTCTCTTTCAGAGGTCAGCAGTTCAGCCCACTATCCAGCACCCTGGAGCAACTACTAATCAGCCCCACATCTATGATCAGGCACGGAGATCAGCCTGGAGATGCTGACTGGCATAGAAACCAACCAACCAGAACCAAATCTGAGTGAACTGTGAGGAGCCAGATGTCCAGACAAAGCCATGGTGGTGGGAGCCTAGGCAGAAGCAGTTAGGGATGATCAGGCAGGCAGGGGAAGGGTTAGTGAATAATCAGGCAGGCAGGAGCCAGTTGTCCTGGATTGCGAGAGAAATGTCTGACTGCAAGTTTAGGTCCAATCCATGTGAGATTGGGCCTAAACTGGCAGTTGGATATCCCCCAAGAGGTCCCAAATTGGAGAGGGTGCAAGCTGGGCTGAGGAACCACCTTCAGTGCACTGGGCATCTAGTAGTGAAATAATCATCAAGATATCGTTAATTGAAATATCCATCACCTCACCATTTACCATTTTCTTTTCCCCTTCCTTCCTTCCTTCCTTCCTTCCTTCCTTCCTTCCTTCCTTCCTTCCTTCCTTCCTTCCTTCCTTCCTCTTTTTTTGTGTGGTGACAATACATAAGATCTATCCTCTTAGAAAATTTTAAGTACACAATATTGTACTGTTAAGTTTAGTCATATTGCTGTCCATTAGATCTCTAGAAATTCATTCTATATAACTGAAACTTATATAGGACCTTTGGGCCAACTTCTCCCATTCCTCCTCCTCCCCTCAGGCAACCACTATTCTACTCTCTGCTTCTATGAGCTAAACTTTATTTTTCATATGAGGGAGAAAAAATTTCTACTTTACTTAAGCCCCCGTCTTCTTGTTTTTTTTTTTTTTTTTTTTTTTTTTTTTTTTTTTGTTAAATGCAGCCAATAACTTATACAAGAAAATAACACCTCTCTATGCAGGGTCGACCGCTGAGACCCTCACCTCTTAGATGGGGGGGAGGGTTTCCCACCAGTCCCTTAAAGTGAGGCCCCCATGAAAAGACAGTTTACATGAGAGATCGTGTCACAGGATGGCAGTGTAAGAAAGTAAGCATCTTCTCAATCTGTGGTCTTCCTTTCCAATGTGCCTACCCCCAAGGCTCACTGTGCACATTTCCTCTATTGCCATGCCTATGGTCCTATGAGTAGCATTTCTTCTTACCTTGCTCTTTTAATGCCAGCCCAGCAGATTGCTGACTGCATCTAAATACCCTCCATTATCATCAAGGCAAATGGGTGGCTGGACCCCCTTGGCCAGGCAAGTCAACTGGAGCAAATTGATGTTGCGCTGGAGCAAACGGGAGGGCTAACGAGCAATCTGGGCAAGTCTGGGGACCGCTGACGCTGCTCCACGGCTCGGATTTCCAGAGACAGTTTAATGTCAGCTTCAGTGGATTCTACATTGGCAGCCTCCTACCCACCACGTCAACTCCACACCCGCTGACATCTTCCTTTCTTTCAAATTGGCAGCCAGAGCCAGGGAAAACCTAAATTTAACCTCTGGAGAATAGGCCATATGACATTTGTGAGCCTTGCATGTTCGGTTTAAGACTTTGAAAGCTAATTTAGCCATGTGATGCCTCCCTAAGTGATGAGGGTTGATACACCTGAACTTCTGTCATTGTTAGCCACTGCGCTTCATCCTGTCTCTTGAGACTTCATCCCTTAATAACTGCTCTCTTAGGCCCCAGAGGATAGCACTAATGAGTATTTGAAAATGCCAGGTTCTTGGCACCATGTGCTGATTAAAAAAAAAAAAATTAAATAACACCCATCAGTGTAATGGTCACTCAGTTAGGGGCAGGGGGAATGCATTATGCATGACTTGTCTCATCATTTCCAGCTCTCCCTTGAATTCCCACATTTAAAGTATAAGCAATTAAGTGGCTCCTGGACCAAATCTTAATTAATTCCAGGTACAGTGACCAACGGCTTGAAATAAAATGCCATATATATATTTTATGGCATTTACATATTAACTTTGGAGGGATCAATGATGG